GATCACTGCTAGTGGTTCACTGGACGTGTGACGATCACTGCTAGTGGTTCACTGGCGTGTTGACGATCATGCTAGTGGTTCACTGGAGTTGACGATCATGCTAGTGTTCACTGGACGTGTTGACGATCACTGCTAGTGGTTCACTGGACGTGTTGATGATCACTGCTAGTGGTTCACTGGACGTGTTGACGATCACTGCTAGTGGTTCACTGGACGTGTTGACGATCACTGCTAGTGGTTCACTGGACGTGTTATCACGTGTGGTTCATGACTGTTGACGATCACTGCTAGGTCACGACGTTTGACAATCATGTCATGGTCACTGACGTGTTGACGATACTCTAGTGTTCATGGACGTGTTGACGATTCACTGCTATTGGTTCATGGACTTGTTGACGATCACTGCAGTGGTTCACTGAACTGTTGACGATCACTGCTAGTGGTTCACTGACTGTTACGTCACTGCTAGTGTTCACTGGACTGTTGATGTCACTGCTATGGTTCACTGGACGTGTTGACGATCACTGCTAGTGGTTCACTGGACGTGTTGACGATAAATGCTAGTGGTTCACTGGACGTGTTGACGATCACTGCTAGTGGTTCACTGGACGTGTTGACGATCACGGTAGTGGTTCACTGGCTGTTGACGATCACTGCTAGTGGTTCACTGGACGTGTTGACAATCACTGTCAGTGGTTTACTGGACGTGTTGACGATCACTGCTAGTGGTTCACTGGACGTGTTGACGATCACTGCTAGTGGTTCACTGGACGTGTTGACGATCACTGCTAGTGGTTCACTGGACGTGTTGACAATCACTGTCAGTGGTTCACTGACGTGTTTGACGATCACTGCTAGTGGTTCACTGGACGTGTTGATGATCACTGCTAGTGGTTCACTGCGTTGACGATCACGCTAGGTTCACTGGACGTGTTGACGATCACTGCTAGTGGTTCACTGGACGTGTTGACGATCACTGCTAGTGGTTCACTGGACGTGTTGACGATCACTGCTAGTGGTTCACTGGACGTGTTGATGATCACTGCTAGTGGTTCACTGGACGTGTTGACGATCACTGCTAGTGGTTCACATAGGTCCTATGTTCCCTCTCACACAGACTATAAAGATATGTTGTTTGGTCTCCTTGCAGTTTCTTCACCTCTCATCCCGTTCTTTGTTTTGTGTCCAGTTGTCTGAATTCGTGTGTGTGTATCTGTACGCACCTAATTGTACTCACCTAATTGTGGTTGCAGGGGACGAGACTCAGCTCCTGGCCCCGCCTCTTCACCGACCGCTACTAGGTCCTCTCTCCCCCTGCTCCATGAGCTTTATCATACCTCGTCTTAAAACTATGTATAGTTCCTGCCTCCACTACATCGCTTGCCAGACTATTCCACTTCCTAACTACTCTATGACTGAAGAAATACTTCCTAACATCCTTTTCACTCATCTGAGTCTTCATCTTCCAATTGTGACCCCTTGTTTCTGTGTCCCATCTCTGGAACATCCTGTCTCTGTCCACCTTGTCCATTCCACGCAGTATTTTGTATGTCGTTATCATGTCTCCCCTGACCCTCCTGTCCTCCAGTGTTGTCAGACCGATTTCCCTTAACCTTTCTTCATAGGACATCCCCCTGTGTGTGTTGTGTGTGTGTGTGTGTGTTGTGTTGGTTGTGTGTGTGTGTGGTGTGTGTGTTGTTGTGTGTGTAGGCGTTTACCAGTTTATACTCACCTAATTATTGCTCAGGAAGTCGAGGCTTCCCGAACTTGCCCTTCCTTTAAATGGCTATTAGGTTCACTCGTTTCTTCTTGCACCCTATTGAACACATTCTTGAAGTTATGCATTGATCTTACTTGCACTACTTCGTTGTTCTGCTCTTTCCATGTCCTGATAAGTCTGAGACTGCAGAAATATTTCCTAACATCCCCGTGACTCATTTTCGTTTTTAAATTTCAGCTGTGCCCTCCCTGTCCACCCTCTCAATTTCTTTGAGAATTTTGTATGCCATTATCATGTCTCCTATTATCTCCTTTCATGGCAGCAGGTTCAGCTCCCTAACTTCTACCTCACCTCACCTTTTGACTGGTCTAGTTACGAACGTTTGAACTTTTTCTAAAATTCTTTACACTCGTTATCATGCATAGGTTCCTCACTGCTGCTGCTGCAGTGAAATGGTCCTAGCATGTGTCTTAGCATATGTCCTAGCATATATCCTAGCATATGTCTTTGTATATATCCTAGCATATGTCCTATCATATATCCTAGCATATCTCCTAGCATATATCCTAGCAATATATCCTAGCATATGTCCTAATATATATATATATATATATATATATATATATTATATATATATATATATATATATATATATATACTAGCATATGTCCTAGCATATATCCTAGCATATGTCCTAGCATATATATTAGCATATGTACTAGCATATATCCTAGTATATTTCCTAGCATACATCCTAGCATATGTCCTTTCATATGTTCTAGCATATGTCCTAGCATATATCCTAGCATATGTCCTAGCATATATCCTAGCATATATCCTAGCATATATTCTACCATATGTCCTAGGATATATCCTAGCACATGTCCTAGGATATATCCTAGCACATGTCCTAGGATATATCCAAGCATATGTCCTAGCATATATCCTACCATATGTCCTGGCACATATCCTAGCATATGTCCTAGCATATATCCTAACATATGTCGGGAATATCTTTTGGTCGAGATTCCTTAAAGGTAATTAATCTTTGATATGCCAGACTTCATTTGCTTCTGAGGTTATCTGGTAGATGTGTCTCAAACATTGTGCTCGGTACTATGTATTACCCAGATGTCTTTCTTCATTGTTCCCCGAGCCTGTACTTTGTGTCTGGTCTTTTTTTTCTCTTCCCCAATTTGCATAACCTTGTATTCTCTAGGAGTGAAATTTAATAACGGATTTTAAAGCAATCCTGCAATATGTCCAGATCTTTTTGAAGCCTGTTTGGTTCTCTCATGTTTTTAAATCCCTCCTTATCTTCACATCTCAGACATGTCGTTCATGTACAGGAGGGCCCCGCTTATACAGCAGGCTACATTCTGGCTACTGCTGTAAAACGAAAATCGCTTTAAAATGAAGCATAGAATCTTTTCACTCTCAAATGCATATAAAAGCCTGTGAACTTGTTCACACTATCATATACTAAGTGAGCAATAGAGCTAGGTATAAAAGATACATAAACAATATACACATTAGTATGATTGAAAACCGCTACATTACCGAAAATGCTGTAATGCGAAGCACTGTTAAGTGGGGCCTCCATGTACTTCAGTGAGGGTTTACGTCCCAGTATGGTTCTTGCGTGGGCGTACCTTGCTACTCCTCCCCAATGTTGACACTTCCTAGCCAACAATCACTTTTTGTTTCCTTTTTATTAGGTATTCTTTTATCCACTGGAGTGCCTTTCTTGTAATTGTTACCTTCTTTTCAGGCTTTTGTCCCAGACTCTTGTGCGGTAGCGAGTCAAGAAAATTCTTGCAGTTCATGAATATGCAGATAACCCATCCCCCCTCTTCCTCCCTCCCTCTCCCACTCTCTCTCTCTCTCTCTCTCTCTCTCTCTCTCTCTCTCTCTCTCTCTCTCTCCCTCGTGCCCTACTTCTGTTACCTTGTCAGAGGACTCAGCAGGTCTGTAAGATAGGATTTTTCATCTCTGAAACCATTTTAAAGTTGCCATTTTTTTAAAACCGAGTTACATGTGATCATTCTACTTTCCACTCTTCTCTTGGTTATCTGATCCATAACCTTACTAGCAGTCATATTTTTGGACAAATACATTGTTCCAGTAGACCAAATTCTTAGCCATTTCGCTAGTATGTGTTCCATTTTATCGGATGAGCATCAGAAATCACCTAATTAACTATTTCAACTATCCGATAAAGTGATCGGAAATTGATAATTTGAGCAATATAACAACTTTCAAATTAGTTGTAGTTTTATGTGTACATGTGTGTGTGTGTGTGTGTGTGTGTATGTGTGTGTGTGTGTGTGTGTGTGTACTCACCTAGTTGTACTCACCTAGTTGAGGTTGCGGGGGTCGAGTCCGAGCTCCTGGCCCCGCCTCTTCACTGATCGCTACTAGGTCACTCTCCCTGAGCCGTGAGCTTTATCATACCTCTGCTTAAAGCTATGTATGGATCCTGCCTCCACTACATCGCTTCCCAAACTATTCCACTTACTGACTACTCTGTGGCTGAAGAAATACTTCCTAACATCCCTGTGATTCATCTGTGTCTTCAGCTTCCAACTGTGTCCCCTTGTTACTGTGTCCAATCTCTGGAACATCCTGTCTTTGTCCACCTTGTCAATTCCTCTCAGTATTTTGTATGTCGTTATCATGTCCCCCCTATCTCTCCTGTCCTCCAGTGTCGTCAGGTTGATTTCCCTTAACCTCTCCTCGTAGGACATACCTCTTAGCTCTGGGACTAGTCTTGTTGCAAACCTTTGCACTTTCTCTAGTTTCTTCACGTGCTTGGCTAGGTGTGGGTTCCAAACTGTGCCGCATACTCCAATATGGGCCTAACGTACACGGTGTACAGGGTCCTGAATGATTCCTTATTAAGATGTCGGAATGTGTGTGTGTGTGTGTGTGTGTGTGTGTGTGTGTGTGTATCCTAATGTATATGTGTTTGCCGAGGTTGATTCACAGCTCCTGGTGTGTGTTATTGCGTATTTGTGTCTTGAGGATTCCATATTGACGTTCCCTCGGTCACACTGGTGTATGTCACAAGATGCTCTTACTTTAAGGAGCTGCAGTCTGGCATACAAGAACTTAAGTTGAAACATATAGACTCACTAAATCTAAGTAAAAATGCCCGAGTCGGGAGAAAACTTGGAATAAATGAGGTTTCACGAACCTAAAGTTAGAGACAATACATTGTACTATCATCAAATACTAGGTTGCGTTCTTACTCAAATATGCTGGAATAAAGTGAAACCAAATGATAACTCTTAAAGATGAGGAAAATCTGACACCTTATGGGGAAATTTATGATTCTTTTCAAGCACATCTGAGTATAGGCTCTTATTTCTTGATGGTAGAATTTATTGTTAATAAGTTCAAATTTATGTCAAAGTATCCTATCTCAATTTATTGTTAATAAGTTCAAATTTATGTCAAAGAATCCTATCTCAATTTATTGTTAATAAGTTCAAATTTATGTCAAAGGATCCTATCTCAATTTATTGTTAATAAGTTCAAATTTATGTCAAAGTAACCTATCTCAATTTATTGTTAATAAGTTCAAATTTATGTCAAAGTATCCTATCTCAATTTATTGTTAGTAAGTTCAAATTTATGTCAAAGAATCCTATCTCAATTTATTGTTAATATGTTCAAATTTATGTCAAAGTATCCTATCTCAATTTATTGTTAATAAGTTCAAATTTATGTCAAAGAATCCTATCTCATTTACTTTTTCTCGTCTCTCAGGCTTTTTTACTTACACTTAGTCACTCTGTATCTACTCAGCTTCTATTTCGATAAATAATGAGAAAAACAATTCGAATATTTCAACTTTTATCTGAGATCATTTTCAAATGGAATCCGAAATATTTGGCTTGCTTTTTTACTATTTTTTTCCCCAAATATTTGGCTTATATTACATTGACCAGTGAACCATAATATTTTTTTCCAGGACTAGCTTGATTATTTTGATGTAAGAGTATTTTGATAATTCCAGATGCTCCTGTGTGTGCCTCAGGGCAGGTGCACGTCTACGGCGCTGCCAGAAACGAAGAGGTGTCTATTACATGTCGTCTTGATGCCGTACCGCCCGTTGTTCATTTCTTTTGGCGATTTAACAGCAGCGGCGACGTAGTCGACATTGCTGAGAATCACGTAGCTACACAAGGACTTCAGTCTTCTTTATCTTATGTTGCTCGCACCGAGCTGGACTATGGCACTTTACTTTGCTGGGGAAGTAACACTCTCGGCAGACAAAAGAAGCCCTGTGCTTACAAAGTGGTCGCAGCTGGCAAACCCAACCCACCTGAGAATTGCACTCTTACCAACCAGACGAGGGAGACTTTGAAGGTGCATTGCCTGCCTGGTTACGACGGCGGCCTAGTGCAAAAGTTTATCATCGAGGTTCATGAAGCAGAAAGTAAGCGTCTCCTGCTCAACATTACAGAGAACTCCGCCCCGGAATTTTCCGTGCGAGGTCTCGAACCTGGGACCTCATACGTCATGCATGTTTACGCTGCCAACGAGAGAGGCTCAAGCCAAAAACAATATCTCACCGGTTACACAATTACAGATATAGCGGAGAAACGCACTGCCCAAGTACGTCCTCCTCCCGATGAACTAGTGTCCGTAACTATCATACTGGCGGTGGTAGTTGGGGTGGTTGGTCCTCTAGTACTGGTGGCACTGGTGGCAGTAGTGCTCCTCAACCTCAAGAATAAACGACGTCCGAAGGGCAAGATCGTCTCAATTCCGCTGCAGACGTCCTTAGATGACTCGTTGGACCACGAAGACAAGAACCCTGATATTATTCCCGCTAACGGTAAGGCTCTTAGGCTAGAAATTGTAATCATAATGGTTCAAACGAAGACAATAAAACACGAAGAGAGTAAAACATAAAGAAGGGTAAATGCTGGTTATTAAACTCTTGTACTAAAGCCCTTTTCGGAAAACAAAATAAGATGAAAGCCTCACTTTAAGACATTATTATTATCATTATTATTACTATTATTATTATTATTATTGTTATTATTATTATTATTATTATTATTATTATTATTATTATTATTAGTAGTAGTAGTAGTAGTAGTAGTAGTAGTAGTAGTAGTAGTAGTAGTATTACATTCTCGGTGAAGCGCTTTTGTACTTATACGAAGTCTAAAGAAGTAGAGGCAATAAGATTGAATCTCAGGAAAGAGAGGGTAGCTCAAATTCCATGGATCAAGAGCCATTGCGCTTCCTTTGAAGGGAATGTGAGGCCCAAAATTAAAGAAATTATTTTACTGGCGAAACTATGTCGCTTGAGTATATCTGTCTGTCAATCTATCTATCTATCTATATCTTCTTCTTTCAACGCACCGGCCGTATCCCACCGAGGCACCGTGGCCCAAAAGACAAAACGAAAGTTTCTCTTTTTAACTTCAGTAATGCATATAGGAGAAGGGGGTTACTAGCTCCTTCCTCCCTGTATTTTAGTCGTCTCCTACGACACACATGGTTTACGGAGGAAAAATTCTGTTCCACTTCCCCATGGAGATAAGAGGAAATAAACAAGAACAAGAACTAGTAAGAAAATAGAAGAAAACACAGAAAGATGTAAATACATATATGCTTATATATGCATATGTAGTGTGACCTAATTGTAAGAAGAAGTAGCAAAATGTACCTAAAATCTTGCATGTTTATGATACAGAAAAAAAGACACCAGCAATCCTACCATCATATAAAACTATACAGGCTTTCGCTTTACACTCGCT